ATGCCTCAGGGTCAGAGAGTTCTTTCTTCCACCTGACACAAATCCCTGCACCTGCAAATGCCATGCCAGGCTTTGTTTTGCGACTTCCAAGCAGATAGGGCATGCAGATGGCCCCTGAGCTCGGTAGGATCAACTCACTAAGCACAGAAACCATGCAGGAACTGGGCTGGGATTCCCAGCGGCCCCCCAGGTATGAATTTCCATCTCCTGCCATCCCAAATTCTACCCACACCACCCCCTCCAGAAAGCCTTCCTGGGCCTTTGGAACCAGCCGGAGCAGGAAGGGGTCCAAGCCAGCCTGGGTACCACCCAGCCTGGCATAGACTGGTTGTTCTTTCTAATGGCCTGGGGCAGGGCCCACAGTACGTGCCAAGTAAATGTTGGTTGCTTGTGTGACTGGCTGGTTCTCCTTGGGTGGCGTAGTGAGAGCCAGGTCTGAATCCCTGCAGCCCTGCTGCAATGAGCTAGGAGACCCCCGGGGGAGGTCACCCCATCTCTAAGCCTCAGCCTCTTCGCATGCTTGGAGGGGCTGGACCAGACAGCCTCTGGTTACTTTCCTCTGTGAAATTCTGGGTTCAAGTGTAAACATCAGTTCCCTTTCTGGGTCATCGGGAAGCAGGATCTCCTTCCTCAATCCTGAGCAAAGCTTGCCTGCCGAGACAGGTGATCAAATGACAAGCATCTTCAAAATGACCGGGAGGGGATATGTCATCTTCAGGGAGGGACCGGGCGACCTCTGGGAAGGATCTTTTTATGGGATCTGGGAAATGGGAATGAGGAACGGGAATAATGCCAGGGCGTGCTGTGAGTATCCAACACGTTTTCCTGCATTCAAGGCTCCCAGCCTCCCTGAGGGGAGTGTTCTTGTGCCCATTTTACTGACGTGGAAACTGAGGCTCCTCCTGAAGCTCATACAGCATGTGGATATCTGAGGGAGGAGTGGGATAGGTGTGTTTGACTCCACAGACCTAGCTGTGTCCTCTAGCTGTCCTGGTCTGCACGTACCTGGACCACGTCCTGCCCCTGCACTGGGTGCCATAACATCCAGGTATATGCTGGAGGCAGGAAGGACACGTATGGGGCTACTGTCCTCATGCTACCTCTGCAGAGCCATTGGTGTGTGTGTGTGTGTGTGTGTGTGTGTGTGTGTGCGTGTCAGAGAGAAAGAGAGAAAGACAGAGGACACAGGTGAGCTAGGGAAACATTGGAAGCTTAGAGGCGCGGGGGGGGGCGGGGAAGAAAGAAGGAAAGAGTTGAAAGAATACAGAGGAAAGGAGCTAATACGCAGAGTCAGAAGGATGGCAATAATAACAATAATAATAACAAGGATAGCACAAACCTTGCCTTTTTTTTTTCCAAGCTGAATGTGAACTGGAGCAGGGCTGAGGGGATTAATCTCTTAAAAACTAAGTGCCGTGTGAGGAGACAGGCAGTGATTAAGGTTTTAACTGATCAGTCTGCATCTGACAGTGAACCAGCTATTATCTTAACGGAATCAAACGAACATTCAAAGCCGTGCTCAGCCCCAAACATGAAAGGAGATGTCATCTGCTGGCAGCTGGCAAGCCGCAGGGGGAGCCGAAGGGGAGAGAGGAATGGAGGGAGAGGGGAAGAGAGGGAGAGAGAGCAGCGTGTCATGGGCTGCAGGAGGGAGAAGGGAAAGACAGGAAAAGAGGAGTGTCAGGGACCACAGAGCCACTGCTGCAGCCCCACGGCCTCTGGCCTCTCCCCTGCGCACCCCCCCCCACCAGATCCGTGTCCCAAAGAGCAAGTGCGGCTGTCCAACACCCCCCTCCCCGCTACCCCCCACCCCCCTGGCTCCCGCTCAGGACCTGCAGGCCCCCCACTTCCTGAAGGGACAAGAGGGGACGTGATGGAGGCAGAGGCTCCCACGCTCCTGAAATCTGGCTTTGGAGACCAGACTCCAGCCTCTTCCCCCACGGTTCCAGCATATTGAAGGCCCAGGAAATTCTTCTTAAATAAATGAGAGAAAGGGGATAAGGGAAAAGAAACAAGACAAAAGAGAGAATGCCTTCGGGAGGCACCTAGGTTCATTCATCGCTCATTTCATTCTGCCGGCCGCCCAGCAGGACCCGAGCCGGGACCTGGTACAACAGACTCCACAGCCTGCAGCAGGCCTCGCTGGGGATTCGGACCCAGGCCCCTCTGGCCCAAATTTCTCCATTGTCTCCACTTTTTTTTTTTTTTTCTTTTGGCCAGAAAAGGGGGTAGAAAAGCAGAGACAGAACCCGGAAGTCCAAGGACAAACCAGAGAGAGGCGCTGAGATCTCTTCCTTCACTTTCATCCCACTTTCCCCAAACAAGGGGATTGGGTGCCGGGGATTCTAGAAAAGGCTTGCCCTGGGTCCCTAGGCCTGGACGAGTGCCTGCTGCACGGTTTGTGCTCATGGAGTGTCAGAGGAGGGGCTGAGGGAAGGGTGTGCTCCCAAGGCGAGTCCTGCAGAGGCGAGATGGAGAGACCGCCCTGGTACTGGCCCGAGGCCTGTTCCACCCTCTCTGGCTCTGACCACGGAGAGGCCTGAGCCGGGGGGACGGGCGGCAGGGTCCTGGCCCCCAGGAACGCCAGAGGCAATACCGGCCCGTGGCTGCGTGGGGGTGTGCCAGCATGCTGGAGAGAGGATGAAAAACATTGGGAGAAGAAAGGTTTACAGAGACAAAAGGAAACTATCTGAGAAATCCGAAATACGGACTCACACCCGGGGACCCTGTATATGGGACAGTTATCTTTCCTGTGGCGCTGGTCCTCTAACCGCACTCTCCTTCCCTTACCGACTCTCACCCACTTGAGGCGACATCTGTTTCTCCAAGAAAACAGACATATGGCCCTCCTTTTTCCCTCTTTGTCACACACTTAGTCACACACACACACACACACACACACACACACACACACACGGAGAGCCAGTCAGTGCTGGGTCCCTGCTCACCGTCTGTTATTCAGACTGCAGGCCTGGTCAGGTCCATAGCCCCCTCCCAGAATTCCTCTGTTTTGGTCCAGGTCTACACTGGGAGGCCAGGTGGGGTCCAGCCCATTCTCTGGGGCCCTGCACCTTCCTGAATGCAGCCTCTAGGCCCGGCCAGGAAGCCAGGAAGCCAGGGCAGAGGCCGGGAGCCAGGGATGATGGGACAAATGGGCAGGACACAGGGTGGCCCCCCCAGAGCTGCAGTGATTCCCTCCCCCCTCTGTCAGTCCTGGCCCTTTCCCTCTGCCTCGAGCAGGGTTCAGGACATGCCCATCTCACGCCTGAATTGTGGCACTGGCCTCGTAAACCATTGCGCTCTCTCTCTAATCCACCTGTATACCCCTGCCAGGGGTCTCCTTCTAAGACAGCCCAGATGGCATCCCTCCCTTGTTAGAGACCTATCATAGCTCCGGTTGGCCTGGAAGGATCAAGTCCCAACAACTCTGGCGGGGCTTATAGGCTCCTCAGTCTGCCCCTCCCCCTCCTCTCTGCCTTGGCTTTCTCTGCCCTCCCTCCACCCCCACCCCTCCACAGCCAAGCCGTGCTCTCCATCCCTGAGCTCGCACATCCTCCGGCTTTACAATACAGTCCATCCCTCCCTCCCTGCCACCTAGCCGGTCTCCTCTCTTTAGGGATGCTGAGGTGACCCTCACGGCAGGTCAAACACTGTTCTAGGGCCTTTCCAGGGAATAAGTCATCTTCTCTTCCTTCACTCTTACAAAAAAGAAACTGAGGCCAAGGGAGGTTAAGCATCTTGCAAAGATGACAGAGACAGAAAGCGGCGGAGCTAAGATTTGAAAACAGGGAGTTTGGGGCCCATCCTGCCGTTCGGAGGGGGTCCCTCTCTCCCTCCTCCAAATCTCCACTGGCCACCGAGCCCCGCAATCTCTTTGCCCTCCAACTTCCTCAAGTATGTTATCTGTACCTCTCATGGGCTCTTTAATTACACAATACCTTGAATTAGGACTTTGATCTCTGTGTGTGTTAATTTTATCTCATGAACTAGATTATTTATTATCAGGAGTATACACTGTTTTTGCCATTACTCTTGTAGCCCCACACCCCCACGCCAGTCACCCAGGACCATGCTAGGCATAGGGTTAGAAATAAAAATAGCACCAGCTAGCATGCGTCGAGTGCTTCCTCTGTGCCAGGCACTGTTCTAAGTACTTTCCTTGGATCAATGAAGTTACACTCCGCAGATGGAAAATTAGAAAACTTAAGCGCTTTTCTTGCTCAAGGTCATGGCGAGTGTGGTAACTTAAATTCTTCACCATTCCCCTCCCCCCCCACCCCGCCCCAGCGAAGAAAGAGGTCAAGTTTATTTCTCGTCCCCTTGAACATAACCCATAATGCCGCAGAAGTACAGAGCTGCGCCCCTCCTGGGCCGAAGCCTTTATTTAGAAGGCTTGGGAGCTTCCACTTTTGCGCTTTGGAGGCTGTGAGCGGCTGTGCGCAGCTAGAGAGGATCACGTGAACCGATGAGGGCTCCAGGGCGCACAGAGAGCAAGAGGGCAACCACCCCAGCATCCGGATCAGTCCTCCAGATGACTACAGCCCCAGCCCCCGTCCACCACAATGGCAAGAGAGTTCCGCAGAAGAACCGCCAAGCTGAGCCCCGCCAGCCCAGATGCTAGGAGAGTGAGCCCAATGGTTGTTTTTTAAGCCGCTCTGTTTAGGGGTGGCTTTGTTACACACCGACAGGTGGGTCCTGTTATTATATCCATTTCTCAGAAGAGGAAGTAGAGGGAGGGATATGGAGGTTATGTGATTTGCTTGCCTAAGGTCATGCAGCTTTGTCAGTAGAGAGTGGGAGTGAGGTGAGGGCCCCCGTCCTTGTGACTCGGAGCTTGGGGAGAATGACACGTTGCAGCAGGACGCTCTCAGTTAGTGACCGAGGTGGACCGGGTACAGGCCCCAACCAACTGTATTCAGTGAGTACACCAGGAGGTCACAGCCGAGGGGCTGAGAGGACAGGACTCTGATCACCCCACCCCCCATACCCACCTTCATTGATCTATTTTCTCTATAGAGCGTCCACAGATGCTTCTCTTTGAAAAATGTGTTCTCATTTTCAAACCACTGGACCAGATCGCTTCTGAGGCCCCCTTCTAGCTCTGACATTCCAGGACTCCATGAATGAGTGATGGGAATGAATGGAGGGCAGACCATCAAACGGCTGGGGGTTCCGTCTGGATGAATGATGGGCACAGAGAAGGACCGAATCCATGAAGCACTGAGTGATTTGGAATGCAGGAGAGTTCTGGAGCTTGGCAAGAGAAAGGTAGGGCGGAAGGTGCTGCTGGAGGCATCTGCAGGGATGAGAAGGGAGGGAGGAGGTTAGGCCTGGGGGGGGGGGGGGGGGTGGGGAGGAGGGTATTCACCGTGAGAAGACAGCGCATGTGCTTGGGAGCTGGCAGGCACGGGGTTCAATCCCAGCTCCGCCCTCTACTAGGTGCTGGCCTGTGGCCCTGGTTTTAACCACTCTAAGCCTCAGCTTTCTCACCCATCAAATAGAAATAGTGGAGTAGCTATCTCATAGGGCTGGCATGGGTGTATGAGAAAACACAGGTGAAAAGCGTAGCCCAGTGCTTGGCACTAGGTAAATGGTAGCTGTGCCTTCCTTTTAGGAAACCCGCAGTGACTTGTACTCGCTCAAGCCCCAGTAGCATAGCTAACCCCAGGAGGCCCAGAAAGGTGCCCTCCATGGGTCCCCAGGTAGAGGGACACATAGAATGTATGTCTGGGGAAGGGAAATGAGAGAAGTAAAGCAAGATCTGAGGCTTACGGGGCTTGGGGCATCGTGCAGAGAGAGAGCAGGGACATGTGGCGGGCACCCAGACACCCCAAGCCTGCCAGGAGCTGGGCACCAAGCTACAGGCTGCAGAGGAGACGGTGCGAGGGCTGGGGCAGGGCTGCCTCACCAACAGGGATGTTAAAGAGGTCATGTAGTGGAACGAGCCGCACAAAAAGGCTGGGAGTGGATATAGGAGGCTCAGATTCCACCCCGCCCTGAGATCTACCAGGAGAGAACCATCCCTTTGGCTTGCGGGGGTCCCCAGGATCTAGTAAGGAATTGGCAGCTCATGGCATGTGAGGCCAAGCCCAGGAGTGACACAGAACAGAGCTCGCGGGTCAGAGAGACAGCGCTCCCTAGTGGCTAAAAGCCCTGACTCTGGAGCGGGGCAACTGGGGTCCAAACCCTGATTCTGCCCCTAACCAGCTGCATGACCTCGGGCAAGTTACTTACCCTCTCTGTGCTAAATGCGGCGGCAGAGGTCATGGTTCCTGATCTCACGGTGCTCACAGTCTGGCTGGAGAGACAGATGCTCAGGAAGAAAGCTCGCCCCCACACAGGTGGCAGGTGGCATAACCACTCACAAGAGAGAGAGGGTCGGTGCCTTGAACTGGAGCTAAGGGGAATTGGTGTGTGTTCTTGGAGAGGTCTTCACGGACCATGAAGTGCCAGCCGGGTTTAGAGAGATTAAGGGGAAGGTATCCAGGGAGAGGAGGACCTAGACACAGGGATGCAAATGGTCTGTCCCACGGGAGCAGGAGGGGGTTCCCGGGTCGGAGCTAAGGCAGAAGGGGCCCTAGGGAGCCAAACACCTTGCAAGGAGGTGGAGGAGTTTGAAGCTCCCAGCTACCTCCGCTCCCTCGGGGCTGAGGCAGGGGTAGGGGGCACCAAGACGAGTCAGGAGGACTCAGAGTGCCTCCGCTGAGGCTACACCCATGCCGATAGCCCCTGCCAGCTGCCCCAGCCTCCCAGGGTCCCCAGGGTCAGGCCATTACAGGGTGAGATTTATCATGGGCAGGTGTGCTCCAAGACGGTATATTATCCAGGATTATGAACTGTAACAGGATAATCTCTCTAATGTAATTCAAGCTCTCGACATGGCTTATGGCTCCTTAATGTACCTCAGACTGAAGAATTACAAGAACATTCTCCCCCAAGCTCCCCGTGTCCCTCCCTCCCTCCTCTGTCAACCCCTAAATGATTTAGGCAATTGCCTGAAGCCGGATCTTGGCATTAAGTCATAATTCAGTGCAGTTCAGTAAACATGATGGGCAAGGAGATTTTCCTGGCCTGTCCCTTCTCCCACAGAAGCCTCTCTTTCCTCCTCCGTCCAAACCCATCCCCCCACTCAGGGACAGGCTGGATATACGACAATCAAGGAACCTCAGTACACTGGGACTCACCCCAAGATACCCTCAGGACACCAAGGCTTAAGCTGCCAGGTTTGGGCTTGGGGTCCCCAGGTATCGAGGATGATACACCCCAGGACCTCACACCCTCCAGAGGGAGAAGACAACTCCAGAGCCACAGAATAATGTCAGAGCCAGGGATCTTAGGAATGTTCTGGTCCTGCAAATCAACCCTGTAAACTCCTACCCCTCAGGGAAACATTCAAATCTTCTGCAGGCCACACCACAGAATATTTTCCAAATTTTATCTTCTATAGTTTTGCCCCCTCCTAGGAAAAAAAAAAAAAGAAGAAGAAGAAGAAAAAGAAAAAAGAAAAACCTTCCCTGGGGAGCTGTGATCCCTACAACTGGAAATCCTCATCTGACCCAGCTCCTTTCACTGTACAGGTGGTGATCTTGAAACTCAGATGGGTCTTTCCTAATTGCAGCTTATGTTTATTGAGCAGTTACTATGTGCCGAGCATTTTCCTAAGTACTTCACATGATTCATTCATTTAATGCTTCCAAAAGTCTTTCATCAGGTGCTATGATTCTCCATTTACTGGTAAAATAACCGAGGCCCCGAGAGGGGAAGTTGAGGCCACAGGTCCATTAATTTGGAAGCTGCGACGTGAACCCAGGCAGACTGGCTCCAGAGCCTATGTTTCCAACCACTGCCCTACACCGAACAGGTTCATATATATAGCACTTGAACCCAGAATCCAGTGTGCTCCTGCTGATGTAGCAATGGAACAGGGCAACAGGGTCTTCTGGCTTCTAGACAACATCAGTGCATGCTCACAGTGGCCCTTGAGCCCCTTTTGCTTTCCAGTCCCTAGGATGATCAAAAAAATCCAGGCTTGCCCTTCACCAGCCAGTGGGAAGGCTACTAAAAAGCCCCTCAGCTCAGTGCAGGTAAGCACTTCCTCTCCTGCACTCTCTGTGCCCAGCCCCCACCTCACTCCCTTACCTTCAACATAGAGCTAGAGGCCCCTCTGGGCTGCCAGGATCCAAGGGAGGCAGGAGAAATCTCCCCTGCGGTACTGGGGGACCACAGGTTGGGAAGAGTTGCTCCTAAATTCATCTCAATAAAAACAAGGCAATCCCCCCGGGCAAATCGTGGCATCTGTCAGTGCCTTCTGTCTGCACGGCATTGGTCCTTCCCTAATGTTCTTGACCTCGGCAAGTCGCTTCGTCTTCTGGTGACTCATTGTTCTCATCTCTGAAGTGGGCTAATAATAGCACAAGGACTAAATTAGAAGCTGCAAGTTAAAAAAAAAAAAAAAACACTTTGGATAAAGCACTCCATACTCAGAACACATGCGCACACGCACGCACACACATAGGCCCCCCCGGTTGAGTTGGTCATGTAGGTGTGGATTTAGTTGTGTCCCCATGCTCATTCCCACACTCATACCCTCGTAAAAAGAGATTCAGATGAGTCGTCTGCCTCTGATCTCTAGATCCAGAATAGACTAGCTCTGAGGTTATACCGGCCACTCTGGACCAGTCTTGGCATTTAAGAATCTTTGCCCAGGGAGAGGCTGCTACATCCTCAGAGGGGGCCCCTGCCAGATGTAGAAGGAATTTACAATCTATAGTGTTTGCTCATTGAGGCGTATAAACGCAAATGACACTGGGTGTAATGGAATGAACACCAGCAGAGGAGTATAAGGACACCTGAAGTCATGATCCTGCCTCTAGATTCCCTTTCCCTGAACCTCAGTTTTCTCATCTGCAAAGTGGGATGTGGGAGGAGGTCTCAGGTCCCTTCCAGTCTAACATTCTGCTTTAGGGTTTACTTCCTTGGCAGATATCCCCTGCACCTTTCCTCTTCTGGCCTCTTCCTGCTCCCTTTTCGTGGTCCCCCCAGCCCCACCTCTTCTTGCTCAGAGACTTGTTATTCCAGGAGGTGCCACGAGGGGGAGCCTACAATTGGATGTCTGGGGTCAGGAGGGAAGCCAACTCAAGTGAAAAGCTAGGGAGGTAGTGGGCCAGTCCCCAGAGACCCCAAGACCAGGATTTAAATAGAAAGTTGAGGGGCCCAGAGATGGGGCTGTAAACCACAAAGACCACCCTCTACACTCCAGAAGGACCGAGATCCTGCTTTACGGTATTTCTTGTCCTCTGTCATACACTTCTAAGTGCATATGGTGGAATGATCTCATTTGACCCTCAGTCTAGTCCGCGAGTCACGTGAGCCAGGTGGAATTATCTAGCACCTCTACAGTTGGGGGGAACGGAGGTTCAGAGAGATTCCAGGCTTACCCAAGGTCACACAGCCAACTTGGGCCAGGGCTGTCGTCGATGGTTCAAGTCACCCAACCACTGGCCCAGGTCCCACTATGCATGTCCCTGCCTCTTCCAAGACCTTACTCCAGGCCAGGCACACAAGGGACCTTCAGGGATGCTTCTCAAATGAATGAGGAGGCCCTCTGAATTAGGGTGCAACTTCCCTGGGGTAAGTCTTCTCTGCCTCACGTTGGTCAGCATAGGCACAGAACTAGTTGACATGTAGGCTCTACTTTCTACCCTTCGCTCTAAACTTCCCGAACCATAATGTTCCCTTCCTACCACATTGCCTGCATGATCCAGAAGTGCTTGGCTGGTCATGGCCTCGCCAAGAGCCCTGGCCTCCTTTCTTTACCTTCCTAGTCTTGCCCAGGTATGTCACCTCCTTCAGGGTAGCCTTTTCACCCCCTCCCACTGTGGGAAGAGGTGGAATCAACAATCAATTATTATTTAAAAGTCATTAGAGGGGCGCCTGGGTGGCTCAGTCAGTTGAGCATCCGACTTCGGCTCAGGTCATGATCTCAAAGTCTGTGAGTTCGAGCCCCGCGTCGGGCTCTGGGCTGACGGCTCGGAGCCTGAAGCCTGCTTCCGCTTCTGTGTCTCCCTCTCTCTATGCACCTCCCCCGCTCCTGCTCTTTCTCTCTCTCTCTCTCTCTCTCTCTCTCTCTCTCTCTCTGTCAAAAATAAATAAACATTTAAAAAATAAAATAAAAAGTAAAAATAAATAAATAAATAAAAATCATTAGATAGCAGTCCGAGCTTCTCCACAATGGGCACTGAGTCTCATTCATCTTGGACTTCCAGGGCCCATCAAAAACTCAGGTCAGCCATCAAATACTCATCTTGGGTACTGTCCCCTTGTGCCTCTACCCTGGGGACCTTTATGAAGAGGCATTTTAAGCATATGTGGCCTGAACAAACGAATGACTGATTGGCGTTCCCCTTCCTTCTTGCTCCGTCCTGATCCTTCAATTATTGGGAAAGGTAACATTTCTGAAGATGCTTCAGAACCCCCCTTCGGCTGCCTTCAGCCCCTCTAAACCACCAGCTAGCTCTCCACACCTTGCGCTAGTAATTTCTACAGCCAGCTTCCCCCAGGCTCCGCTTCTCCAGGTGCCCAAAGGCCTTCCGGTCAGTGAAGCAAGTGAGTCAAAGGGAGGAGGTAGTCCCTTCAGTGGGGGAGGGGAGCCCTCTTCCATCCCTTCCTATTGCCCAGCTTAGCCTCAGGTCTCCCCTCCCACAAAACCTGCCCTACACTTCCCACCCCTCCCCTCCCCACCCCACCACATGAAGTTACCGAAGGCCTAGGCCTGGACATTGAGCAGGTAAGGTTTAGAAGGAGCCATGGGAGGGGCGCCTGGATGGCTCAGTGAGCTGAGGTCCAACTTCGGCTCAGGTCATGATCTCACGGTTTGTGGGTTCAAGCCCCAAATTGGGCTCTGTGTCGACAGCTCAGAGCCTGGAGCCTGCCTTGGCTTCTGTTTCTCCCTCTCTCTGCCCGTCCCCGGCTCACGCTCTGTTTGTCTCTGTCTCTCAACAATAAATAAATGCAAAAAAAAAAAAAAATTTTAGAAGGAGCCATGCGACTCTCAAAGCACAGGGAGAGAGTTTCATTGGATCTAATTCACCTGTACAGGTGAGGCAAGTTGGGCCCCGGGAAGGGAAGGTGACCAGTTCATTCCGTTTACTCATTCATTCAGCAAATATTTACTGAGTGCCTACTATGTGTGTAGCCCTGTTCTAGGACTGGGACTCCTTTGAAAAGCCTCTGCCTTCACAGCAGGTGGGAGGAGACGGACAAACATCAGCACGTACGTACGGTGGAAGCATGTTACGTGGTGATAAATGCTACTGAGAGATGCAGGGGAAGGGAGATGAGAACCTTGTGGGTGTTGGCAGAGGGAGGGCAGAGAAGACCTAAGCAAAATGAGAGAGGAAGCACTGTAGGAATCTAGGGAAAGATAGGCCCAGGCAGAGGGAATAGTAAATGCAAAGGGCCTGAGGCCGAAGAGTGCCATCCTGCCTGTGGCACAGTGAGGAGGCCAGTGTGACTGGAGCGGAGCGATAGGACAGGGATAGGAAAGAAGGGCAGAGAGGGGATCAGATCCTGGAGGGTCTTGTAATGACCTGTTTCTCTGGCTGAGATGTGCAGGTATTAGCAGATTTTCAGCAGAAGAGGGACGTGAGTGATCTGACTTTGGCTTTAGAATGATAACCCTGGGGGTGCCTGGGGGGCTTAGCCAGTTAAGCGGTTCACTTGGGCTCAGGTCATGACCTCACAGTTTCTGAGTTTGAGCCCCTCATCGGGCTTTGTGCTGACAGCTCAGAACCTGGAGCCTGCTTCGGATTCTGTCGGTCTCCCTCGCTCTCTGCCCCTCCCCTCTTTGCACTCTGTCGCTCTCAAAAATAAATAATAAATATTTAAAAAACTGAAAAAGGGGCGCCTGGGTGCCTCAGTCGGTTGAGCGTCCGACTTCGGCACAGGTCATGATCTCCTGGTCCGGTCTGTGAGTTCGAGCCCGGCATCGGGCTGTGTGCTGACAGCCTCGAGCCTGCTTCGGATTCTGTGTCTCTTTCTCTCTCTGCCTCTCCTCCACTCACGCTCTGTCTCTGTCTCTTAAAAAAAATGAATAAACGTTAAAAAAAATTTTTTTTAACTAAAAAAAAAAAAAAAAAAAAAAACACAAAAAAACAAAACCATAACCCGGGGGGCGCCTGGATGGCTGGGTTGGTTAGGTGTCCGATTTTGGTTCAGGTCATGATATCAAAGTTCATGAGTTCCAGCCCTGCATGAGGCTCTCTGCTTCAGATCTTTGTCTCCTCCCCCCTCCAGCGCCCTGCCCCTCCCCTGCTCGCTCTCTTTCAAAAATAAACATTTAAAACTTTGTAATAAACAATAAGATAATAAAAAGATAACCCTGGCTGCTCTGCTAGGAACAGACTGAGAGGGACAAAGGATACGGAGGGACAAGTTAGGAGGTGTTGCAATATCCCAGGCAAGGGAAGATGGTGGCTTGGAACGGTGGGGTAAGTGGGTAAGTGGTGAAGAGAAGCAGATTCTGGACATATTTTGAAGGCAATGTAAACAAGATTGGCTGAGGCATTTGGATGAATGATGACAGCGAAAGAGAGGCGTTGAGAATAACTCCAAGATTTTCTTCCCCAGCAACTGGAAAGATGAGGTGGCCCTTTTTCGAGATGGCAAAGAGGGGACGGTAGTAACAGCCGGAGGGTGGGGGGAAAGACCAGAATTTCCAAGTTGGACAAGTTGAATTTGAGATGCCCTCTGGACGGTCAGGTGGAAATAGGAAACAGGATTTAGGGGCCTGGGGGTCAAGAGAGAGATTACGGTAGAGCTAGGAGAATAAAAACAAAATCTGAAATCTCGATTCCCGGTAAAGCTCTTTCCAGTGCGGAGAGGACTCTCGCGCGGGTTGAAGGAGTCAAATACCTGCGCTCAAAACCTAGGGCGCAAGGAGAGGAAATACGGTAACCCCGGCGGCGCGCACGCCCCCAGCCCCTGCGGCCCCTGCGCCGGAGCTGGAGGAGGTTCGGGGACCCGGGCCGCGCCCGGAGGGGGCCGGCGACCTCGGGGAGCTTGGGTGAGGCCCGAGGGGGCCCAGGGCTCCGCTCGCTCGCACGCATCGGGGGCGGGGCAGGGGCCGCTCGGACTCGGGGGCGGATCTCCACTGAGGTCTGGGTTTCTTCTCTCAGCAACGGTCTTGACTCCTTTCCTGGAGCCACCGTCAGATATTTACTTAACCTCGCAGTTCAGCCTCCCAGGGGCCAGCAGGGAGGGACGGAGGCAGGGAGGGGAAGGCCGGTGGCCATGGGGAGCGAAAGGGAAACATTTTCTTCCCTCTGCACAGGCCCCGCCTGCCTCGCTCCCTCGTGGGGTCCCTCCTGCCGCGGACCTCCAGACTTTCGGGGGTCAACCAGTCCCTTGGGTTCCCAGGGCATTCACGCTAGTCCACCTCCGTGGATTTAAGAACTAGGAAACCGGCGGTGGGGTAACTTGTTCGAGGACCTACAGTGAGTCTGAGGCGGGGCCAGACTGCCAGGCTTTTGGGTCCCCCAGCCCTCGTCCAGCAAATGAGCACCCGCGGTGCGGGGAGAGCCCACAGATACGGGTTCTATGAGAAGCCCCCACGTTTGCCAGCCTTGCGGCTTCGGGCTAGACACTTCACCTCTCCGTGCCTCCCTTTCTAGGTGTGTAAAAAGGGAGTCATCACTCTTACCCTGCTTCCTTGTCTCGTTGAGGGACAAATAATTAAAAAAAAAAAAAAATACCAGCTGCCAATTGCCGAGCCCGGGTGAGCCTGGCACTGTCCCGGGCTCCTCGCACAGGGCCTACTGTTGTCCCCCCGGCTTTGTACACCCTGCCGCTCATCTAGTTGGCCAGAGATGGGAGCTAGAGGGAGGAGCGAGGGGAGGCCCGAACCGAGCTCCCAGGCCTGAAAGGAGCCCCCCACCCTCCCCCCCCCAAGCCACGGGCCCCGCCACGGGCCCAGGGGTCAGTGCTGGGGGCACTGGGGGAGGGGAAGCCGGGGGCCAGGGGGAGCGGAAGTCCCTGCTCCGAGGCCCCACTTCCCCCCCCCCCTCCCCTCTGGCCGGCCCCGGGGCAGGTGAAGAGGGGACCGGGCTCCGCTCCAGGTGGCGGGGCAGCGACGGGGGTGGAGAAAGGCAACAATAGCACTTTTATTTGGGACTGTTTGGCTCTGAGCGGGTGGGCGGAGGAGGAGGCGGCCGACGGGGCTGCGGGGGAGGGGGTGGTCAGCGGCATCTGGCTACACACCTGCTCCTGCTTAACCCTGTGCGTGCTGGGGCTGGGCGCGCGGCGGGGGAAGGCGGCGCGGCTGCGGGGAACCAGACCCAGGCCGCGGAGTGCGCGCCTGCCGGGACGGCCAGCCTCCGGGATCCCTGGCCAGGCCCGGCGGTCGCGGGGGGCGCGCGAATGGGGATCCCTGGCGGGACAGTGCGGATGCCCCGTGCCCTCGGCGGTGCCCCTCGACCTGCATTGGCCTCTCGGGTACAGCCCGCGGCTCCGGAGTCGGCCTCCAGCGCGGCTCCGCGCGGCTCGGGCGGGAGAGGGAAGGCCAGGGGGTGGCTCCAGGGCCTCGGCGCGGATTCCCCGCCGCCCTTCGGGCCATTCCGGGAAGCCGGCCTTCCGGAGGCGGCGCGGCGGCCACGGCCATGCCAAGGGCGCGGGGAGCGGGCCAGGCCCAGCGGGCGGCCGCCGGGCGGGGAAACCAGTGCTGGGCGCGCCCTCTCGCGCTAAACGCTTCCAGGCGCGGCTCTGCAGGTGAGCCGGGGCGCCCAGCGCACCCCACCCCGGCGCCCGGGGCCTCGCCGACGCTCCCTGCCGGCAGGGCGCCCGGGCCGTCGAGCCCCGCGCTGCACCTGCCCGCGCCGGGACCCCTGCCCGCCCGCGGTACCACCCCTCCCACCCCCGGGGCTGGCGCGCTTGCCGGCCGCACAATCGGAGCTTGTTTGTGGGCGGAGGAGCCGCGCCGGGTGCGGCGGCCCCGCGCCAGCCCACTGATCCCATAAAATATTATTTGTGTTTAAAAATTCCAGTAATTGGCTATGCAGCCGCTTTTTCCGAGCCCCTTGCCAAGCGCAGTAAAATCTCAGTCCGGCCGGGGTTATTTTCATCATGCAAATTCCCATTTCTGTAAACAGGGTTAAAGCCTCTGGAAGAGGCCGGGCTAGCACCAGAGAAGAAAAGCAGAAGGATGTGTTCTCCGACTCTGGGAGGTAGTCACACTGGGTCTCCATTCCTGTGATGACCTGGGTAACTGAGGAGAATTATTCAAATAACCCACCCCCCTCTCCCAGTCGCTTTACTTTGAAAACCAGTGCCTGGACTATACTGGGTAAAAAATCCCTGGTTTTCTCAACTTTCCCTTCGCTTTTTTCATTTGAATAACTTACATCATCAAATCATGGAAGCATAACTCTCTCTCTCTCTCTCTCTCTCTCTCTCTCTCTCTCTCTCTCTTAATCACAGGAGCAAACTGAGGCTCAGAGAGGAGAAGCGACTTGCCCAAGATCACACAGCAAGTTTGTGCCAGAGCCTGGGCTAGTACATAGATTGCCTGAAGGCCTATCGGGGAGAACCCCTGTAGGGTTTTGAAGAGGAGGAAGCTGCTGCCGGTGCCCCTGTAGCCAGCACAGAAAGCCCCAGGGCCTGGCTCTGGGATGCTGACTGTGGGCACAATCTCG